TCAAGTGGCTGCTAGCTCGTTTGCTATATTATGTTATAAAAAAAGTAAATTTAGAAGAAAAAAGTACAGGTCCCCTTTAAACACTTTCTTGTTAAACCATTGAAAACAACAAAATCGATAACAGGTTTTCCCAGTGGCTTTTCATGGCGATTTTTCCAATAAATACCGAACAATGTTCAACCAACTGATTGAAGTTATTGCATTTTATTTTTCTTTACATTTATTGTTACGGAATAAATGCTGAAGCATTGACACGGAAAACAAAAGCGCAATTAAAATCAATCAAAAGTCGTTCCGTTCATTCAGTTACATTGAAAGTTATACTGCTAATGTTTGTTTTCATTATAAAAATATAATCAAATCTGATACCTTGTTTGAGTATGAGAGGAAAGAATAATCTTCATTAATCTAATGAAGAGGAAAGATTTGAACTTTTGCATGTTTTTAAATAACTCAAAAACTACAGAGTCGATTTTATTAATTCTTTCCCCGTTAAAAATGTAGTATGGTTATAAAAGTGCATAACCTGTATAACAAAGTTTCTCTTTTATTCACGTTATCAAGCAGAATGCTAGTCGTTTTAGCCTCGGCGGATGTTTGAATTAAATTCAACGAATATGCTGTTGACGAGAAACTTTTCGCTTTCGGTGCAGTTCGGAGTATTTGTTCTCACTCGTAGACTACACAATTATAAATTACTAGGAGTTGCTCGAGACTTAGTCCGCGTGGAATTCAAAAATAGTAAAAAAATTGTCATACATACAATGATAACGTATACCGCTATGTCTGTACATAAAACTAAATACGAATTTATTCTCCCTTGCATATGAGATTAATAATTATTATGTCAAGCTAAAATAAACCTTATGTAAACCTATCGAATGACTATTCTTAGGTTATTATCTATTTATTTCAGTATTATACATTTATATACGAGTAAAATGACAAATAATCTTCTAACAATTACAAAGCATGTTACAAGCGTGTAGCGTATTTAAGCTTGGATGACATACATGTCACTTAAGTAGCGTGATCATTATTTTTATAGCAAGTATATGTTTCTGTATCCACAGATGTTTGTACAGAAACATATACTTGATCCATTCTAATATTATACAGAGGAAAGATTTGTATTTTTTGTATGTATTTAATTTACGCAATAACTACTGGGCCGATTTTAAAAATTCTTTCAGCATTAGAATGGTAATTTATCTGTGTGTAACACAGCCTGTATTTTTATATTCATGTAGACAAAGTCACAAGCAAAAGATAGTTAGAAATAAAATTAAGGTTATGAAATGTTTTCTTGGAAAAGGGAGTGATGACAGATGACGTATGATAGAGTTATGTGGAGGACAAAATACCTGTTGCGCCGACCCTACGGCAGTAGGATAAGGAGAAAGATGATGATGATGATGAATTTTTTTCTTGCATTTAAGTATAAATAATAAAAACAATAGACTTCTGTTTCTTGTGTTCCAGAATCAAATAAATTTCGAAAGAAAACTATACAACCTACTTTGTTATATCGGAACAAAAGAAAAGCCAGTCAACAAAATAAATTACATCTCTCATTCGGGACTAGAACCGTAGTGATAAATTATGTGTAATATAATACGGATTTGCTGCGCCGCCTTTTGTTCTCCCTTCGCGTTCACGATTAATTACAACAAAGTCTGATTAAGTACGAACTTTAAACACATGTGTGTTTTTGAACATTACACTAATTTTAGGTAAAAGAATATCTCATATGTCGTAAACATTTGATATCAAAATATGTAACATCAAATTTAATTGTATTAAGAGAATGGACATTTGAAACTAAATTATCGTACAACTGTTTAGTCGCGCTGTGATTCCTATGACCTTATATGGAGGTGCGAACACTACACGATTTTTAGTTGTGCAATGAAACAGTTAAACCTTCAATAGAATACAATCGCACAACCGTTGTGCGATAGTTTAGTTAAGTGTGCCCGCTCTAAATATTCACAATAAAGATTCTTCCTTTAACAATCATAAGATTAATTTTCTAGATTTGTTCAGCATAAAAATCACGTTCCACTTGAACGTGATTTAAATTCTGAGTATTTAAATGTTTGAAACATAATATTTACTTTTGTTGAACATGTTCTTATATTCGTTAACTCATTCAATGTATATAACGTTAAATAAATAAAGTGAAAAAGTGTCTACCATTTTAAGCTACTTATACGGTACTGTGTATTTAGGCAGTTTGATTTAGTGCGGCAAAAAGAGGACCGTCTTATCCTTAGTCAGCAATGAATCACGCGGCCCCCGGGTGTCTTTGCTCAACTCACAGATAAAATCACACACTGCAACTTTGTTATAACAAAATTCGAAAGAATAAGCTGGGATTTTATTGACATTAGGATACTTTGTGGTGCGATTTGTTAGGATTGTATTTGAGCTTTAAATTTGTCATGGTAACAAATTCTAGTAGATTCTTTGTTGCGAAGAAGTAAAAACGAAGAAGTGTGTTCTAATGCGTAGATGCTTTCGTAGCAGTGCTACGAGAATCGCTACGATCGTTGCTTAGTTCCATGCTACGATCGTTACTACCATTATTAACGTTGCTACGAGCGTTGGAACTATGAGCCATTAATTTTAAAAATCAATTGAAACACAACACATTTTTTCCAAATCAAACTTTGCTTTCTAATTATAAAAGTTTTATTAATTAGTATTAGATGATCTTTGAAAAATTACATAAATGTAAATAATCATCTTACACAATAGTTCATTAAACAAGCTGCAAAGTTGGGTTTTACTCTTAAATAATGTTCGCAGCCGTTAAATAACATGGGGAAGTAGTAAACCGAGTCGGATTATCGGCACCGAAGTACTTCAAATACGAAATTTACGCTTCAATTTTGCACAGTAATAGGATTTTAGATAGTTTCCTCACTTAAGTATTTTTGATATCAAAATAGAAATTCAATTTGTAATTTCTTTCTGAATTTATGTGTCTATATTTGAAGGTTTTATTTTGTAAACTAAAGTAGACATGCAAAGTTATTTAACTAAAACTTTATCTTTGCATCTATTAGTATACCACAATTTATTTCTATAAAAATAAATGATTAATAATTTAGTCAACTAAATGTAGGTAGATTGTGAAGGGCAAAATTAAAGCGGTGTAAAGAACCTCACTAAAGTCGAAGCTTTGTCCTCCAGCTTATTAAAAATGTGCGACAACAAAAGCAATATAAATCCGCACCAACTGTCGACGCTGTGTACAAGCTTAGGGCTTTTGTAAATCAGTTAACATCTATATTACATATTCAACCTTAATTCTTATATCTATAAAGTGTAAATTTAATAATACACAGTTATTAGATAGAACTGATACATTATTTGGAGAATTGGCTTTCATAACAAATTATAAAGATGCCCCACACGTACAGTGCTGTATTGATCTTATATTACAATTTAAATAATAAAAAAATAATAAAACAAAAAATTATTACAACTTTTGAAAAATCTTATAAAAAAGTACTTACGGTAAAATTACTCTGATCTGGCTGATTTTACAAAGGGCAGTGTCACACGACCAAATGCGGTGACGCAACGTAATCAAATCAAAACGATTTTTAAAACTTGCAACGCCAATTGAGTTGAACCATTTATGTTGAATGATCAACTTAATTGTTGGTCATGTGTAAACCGACGTAATCTTGGGTAAAGGACATTAAGATTCAAACAAATTCGGAGTAAAACGAAAAGCTTACCTTTGCCTAATTGCAAAGCAACGAGAGCTTTTAAGCCACGACCGTTTGATACAAAGATCCTGCTGTTCCTAAATCCGGTTTAATCAAATTCTAATATGGTTTTTCGTTTCAATTAAAATAGAAATAAAGATATCTTGTTTATATTTGCCGATGTTCTCTTGTTTTAGTAGTTCAATTATAAAAATGGTTTAAAGTCATAATAAATATTGTTTTTACTTTTGGGTTTTGAGGTGAGAAAGTTTTGCTTTATCTATTCCAATTAGGTAGGTACAACTCGATAAGTCATTTTTTTCTTCAAAGCGGATATAAAAAAGGCTATAACTCTACGAAATAAATTACATCGCTCACACCTACAGGCGTGGTGATAAATTGTGTGATTTATAACGCGGATTTTCTCTGAGTCGCTTACTGTGCGTAAGTCATATTATACTATATGCATAGTTATAAAATAAATGTGTTATTTATCTAATTTGAAACTCCCACGCTCAGAAAATTGAGTAAAAGATTAACTAACTCGAATGTTAATGTCTATTATTTCTATATGAATATTAATTCCAGCTTGAGATTCATCTAGTTCGACTTTTCCGAAGTGGGAACAGGACAAAAATACATAATTACATATTAAATTATTATTTAAACTACATTGAACTCTTTAAACTCTCCCAATGTTGATATACAGCTAATTATCTATATCTACGATAATAGACAGATCTTAAATGCGAGAATTTGAATACTTCGTAAACAAAATGATAATCTCGTAATCCTTACTTATATTATACTTTTATTCTAAAAGACAAGGCGAGCAATTCGAAGAGAAAGGTTTTCCTTGTACTGCATATAATTATTAGATAAGTACATTTCGCTAAAAGATTGGATAACAAAATATTCTATATTTAAGGCGAAATTTTGATTTAATTCTTAAACAATAAATAACGGATTTTAGTTAAACATAACACTATATTCTCTGACTAAACTTATTTTAAAATGAACACTTCAAGTAGTTTTAAAAACTTTATGAGAAAACTAATATTTTAAGATATCAGTAATTAAATAGGTTTTTACAGGTTAAAAATTAACATTTCTCTCATGTATTAATGTCGAAAGCCAACAGAATAAAAAACAATCAACAGTTTCCTATTTTGTAAGAGAAAATGTAGCGAAAAATTTTCTGTCCCATTAGAACGCTTTCCGAGGTTGGGGAGCGGGGCGGTTTGGTTTATTCGTTCCCTGATCGTCAGCCGGTGCGCACGTCGTGACGAGTTAACGAGCACCGCCTGTTGGACGCGATCGTAAAATAATAGTATGTGTTAAGTGTACTGACAACGATCACTATGAAAGGTAGACACCAATTCCGACGCAGATTCAGTCTACAGCCCTCGTTTCTGAAGGAGGAACCCGAGGAAGAGAGAAGACCGCACAGGTACATTAAGTTACTAATTGTGTTTGCGATTTATTTTGTAGTGATTTTGTTTTACGCGTAAAATCACAAATATAATGGGGCAATTTTATTCGTAAAGCGACGAAGGAACGTCAGATCGTGATTGTTATC